AATAATAATAATAATAACAACACTGATTACATCGATGATAACATTGACTCTGGATGTTCTCTGCTGTTGAACTGTACTGTTTATATCTAATAAAACAAGGAGGGGTTATGCATTGCTATTTCTGTCCATTTCTATCAGAAGTATTTTAATGAACTCTAATTTATTGTACGTTGCATTGAAGATGCAATGTAATTAAAATGCCCAGGAGGCTTCCTGTGTATGTAATTAAATGTATTCCTGTTGAGTTCATTAATTAATTGATACTTGTGTTGACTGCTGCTTTCAGGCAGACAGAGCTGTTTGAATGCTACACACAGGCTATAGTGTACTGCGAATCAACTAAGACCAAAAACATGCTGGTTATTATTTTAATGACATATATATAAAAGCATAAACCAGACATTGTGTTTGGAATTAAAATGAATCCTTCTGGTATTGGATTATTCGTCACACAAAAGCAGTAGTCCGGGCTACATCCAACCTCACTAATCAAAAACACACAACAAGGGACTTTGAACTGTCAGGTAACAACAGTTAATTCATTAACACTTTTTATTGAGGGAGCAGGGCTTACAGTGGTAGGCCTATATGACAATAACAAACTTGTTTCGACAATAGACATAGAAACACTATAGTCCTGCCTTTGAAAGCAGGTTAAACAGAAGTCAGAAGTTCACGCAGAGGGGCGCCTGCTGAAACCAAACAGACCGGGTGCAAAGTCCACTGACAGCAGTGGAACGACTGTCACTACCATCCCCACTGGACACTAAGAGTTTCAAGCCATTGTCACATTTAGCCTGATCATAATGGAGATTCCAGTATTTACAGTAGATGCCTTCACAAATTTACCATTCAAGGGAAACCCTGCGGCAATTTGTCCACTTATGCATGTGAGTAAGAATATGTAGGTTAAAGTAAAGTACTGTCATATTGTAGACGTAACAATCTGAAGTAGGGCGTTTGTTGTTCAACGATTACAGCTGCTCCTTAGTAAAACTATATCTATTGATCTATGTGCTTATACCACAGTGTATACTGATTACATGTCACAACAAAAGATTTACATTTGTGTTTCTAACAGGAACTGAATGATGACTTGTATCAGAAGATAGCAGCAGAGATGAACCTGTCAGAAACAGCTTTCATCACCAGGATCAACCCCTCCGACAATTTTACTACAGGTAAAACTAACTATACTAACTAACTA